TATTATTATGATGGTCAAATTATGTCCCAGACAGTATGCTATGCACATTATATACCTGTCTTCAAAGTAGCCTTGCATGGTCAAGATTATTACCTTGACTTAACTGAGTTAGGAACATGAGAAGCAGAAAAAGTCAGTAATTTGCTTAGGAACTCAGCTAGTAAGTGGTGGAACTTACACTCAAATTCGGGTGTTCCAAACGTTGGAGGACTTTCCAGCCCAGCACAGGTAGCTGTGACATAAGGGCACCAAGAGATGACATTTGAGGCTGTGAGGATGGGGAGATCGAAGAGAGGGTGGAGATGAGCGGGTGTCTCTCCCCAAAGCCCATGAGTTTCTCCTACTCAACGGTGGAGTAGAATGAATCTGTAGTATGCCCCACTGGCACACTTTCTGCCTTTCCTATTTGAGTCTTGGCAACTTGAGAGCAGGAAAAATGGGTGAGGAGAGTCCCCCAGAGCTGGGGACTGATGTGAGGTAAGGACTGGGTGGGTGAGAAATGCTGAGGAGAGTCCTGGCAGCTTGGGGTTCTCTTGAAGTGTGGTGATTTGCTATGCTGCTTCAGTCAGTTTACATTTAGCGCCGTTAAATTTTACACCTTGGGTCTAAATTTTACTTTGTTCAGGGAGTGTTGTGGCTCTTTAGATATCTTCCTCTGATTTTTTTCTTCTTTCTCTGAGATCACATTGTGTAGTGGGAAGCCACGTGTTTGGTACGTGTTGGTAGAAAAGTCTGCCTCTTCAGAATTGGTTGAGAGTATGTTTTTCTAAAAATTCTGTGGTTGGTATCGATTTTCTCCTCACAGCCATGGAGGTGAATAAATTCTCACCCTTTATATTTCTAAACAAAATAAAATATGATATCCGTTCAAAAGCGTTGAATAAGGAAAAGGAAAAGCCAATTTGAAAAAAAGGTCAGCAAGACACAAGGATGTGTGATGTTTGCTGAAAGCGCCTGTCAGAAGAGGCTGGGTAATGCAGATGGGCCAAGGGAAACAAGATACAATTAAGGCGAAATTCATTCCCCCAAGATCGCTGAAAAAGTGAGTTTATAAATCCTGAGAGGTAGGAGGCCAAATGAGATCTAATTGTATCTTATTTAACTTGGCCTTTTAAAAATGGATAACCCTTGGCTCTCTCTGCAAATATCACACTTTTGTCAAGCTGACCTTATGCGATGTTTTCGTTTTTGTAAATGTGAAGTAGTTTTGATCATACAATAGTTACTCAACTAATAAGGTTTTCAACTATAAATATAGACCGTGCTCTAATGGAAACCATATTACCAGTGGGAAGAGTTCCATTCCTTATTATTGTATTCTATCTAGCTCACATGGCTCTCACAAGGCCCAGAAAAATAGCGCAAGAAAGAATACTTCTGCAAAGATTCACACACTCAGTTTAAATATACTGTAAAAATAAGAAACGAGGTCATCCAAATAAATAGATGCTCATGAGTAGAAAAGAAAATTTGAAATACTGTAGAGCTCACATTATCTTCTTGTTTTACTATGGAAGAGAGTTGCACTACAGAAAAATCCAAATCAGACACAGTTCTCAAGCTAATTGTCTTAGGGTTTATATTGAAATATGTAATATTTCCTAAAGGAGATTTAACTTTTTAATTTTATTTATTTTTTGTCAGGGTTTCCATGGAAGTCGTAGGGCCTCCATTCCAGATGACCAGGGTTCTAAATCACTCCTTCCTTCTAAGACTCCACTTGCCATCTATAAATGAGTGTGCTAAACTGGATGACTGCCGGCTCTCTCCTACTTCTAACACTGACACTTTATTTGGCTTTGAATCTCTGTGAATAATTGAATTTGATTTAACATGGGAAGGAGAAGATAGTCTCTCAATGTTTTTGGTTTTATTCTCTCTCTCCCTCTCCTACCCTACCACTCTCTCACTTTTTTGGCTTTAAAAGAACTTCAGAGGGCCTTTCCCTGGGAAACCAACATGTCATGTGCTAGGAGAGCTGGGATTTGACATGGCTCCTTGTGTATTGGCTCCTGTGTGACATGGCTCCTCTCAAGTATTTCCTTGAGGCCTGGATGAAAAGAAGGAAGAGGGACCTCAGCAAAGGCATGGTGATAGAGAAGCTGTAGTTCTGAGGATTTGTACTTTTTCTTAATGCACATAGACAAAGTTCTTGCCTGCCTCCCCACCAGGGTCTTGTGTAAGAACATTCTGCCATAAGATGTTAACAGCATGAGTGACCTTCCCTGGGTTTAACGATTCACTGATTGTAAAACATGTTTTACCTAGAATCACAATGGGTCTGTGTTTCTGGAGCCCATACCCACTGACCTGGAAGAGGCCCCCCAGAAGTGTGCTAAGTGGACAAGGGAAATGGGCTAGAGTTTATATTTATCTAACTAGATAATTGAGTGAACTAAAAGGTCTTTTATTATCCTTATGTGGATTATATACTTTGTAGGGTATCCAAAGTCTTTATTAAAACCACGTGTATTCCTGTCTCACTTCTGAGTGCCTTCTCTGAGAATCAACCCATATGCTGGGAATGCAAACCACACTCCTTTTACAGTCAGTGTAAACAAATATAATTAAAGAGGCAAACTTACTTCAGAAATTATCTAATGCCTCCTGCATTAAAATAGAAATGACTTTTGGCTGCTCCCATTTCCTCGTGTGGATCACTGTTAAGTTCAGGTCTGATTTTCCTGGAAAAACAAGTGTGAGTCTCAGCAGGCTTGACTTAGTCTTATATCCCCAGGTTCCTCATAGTGACAGGTAATTTATGGAAATTACTGCCTCAGAATTGTAAATGCAACATTCTTAAGACTAGAGTTAAGAGAGTCGCAAGCAGATAAGATTGAAGGTAAAACTCACAGTTTGAGAAATGGTGCTGAAGTGAGCAGAAACTCTCACAGGATTTTTGAGTCACATATTTTTATTAATAAGAAGTATTTGCAGTCACATTCTTGATTATGAAAAGGAAGGAAATAAAATAGCTTTGAAAATCCCATTAAAATGGTATTTTAATGTAGTCTTGTCAAGTCATAGGCCTTATATAAACTAAGTACAGTTCTTAATCTGTACTGAATTGCATGTTATGGCATCTTCTTCTGTTCATTGCTTTTTCTTAAAGCTAAAAGGGGACTAGTCCTACTTATTTCATGCTGCAACAAGAATTTAGGTCACAGTAGCTGATACTTTTTTGTGATCAAAGACCTTTTAGGTTGTAAACATTCTTTTAGGAAATACTAACATACATGAAAATGAGACCTAGGAGAATAATTTTATGAAACAGTATTTCAAGATAATTTAATAACATTAAATACATTCCTTTTCATAGCCATTCTTATTTATTACATATTTTTGTTTATTCATTATAGATTTCAAAATCCAACTGGCATGTCAGTGTCCTTTATAATTTACTTCAAAGGTGTTAACATATTTAAAGTTAAGTCCAATCTATTAGAAGGATATTTAAATTTAGAATGAATATCTAGGTTCTTAAATATGTTCTTTTAGTCCTTTTAATTTTAAAAATATTTAAAGTTTAATTATACAAGCAATAAAAGGATATATTCTCTTGGTAAAAATTAAAACTCTAATGATATGGATCAAGTCCTTTATTAGCATCCAGAATTTAGGTCTCCTTCCCAGATGGTGTGAGCACTGCTATCTGCTTAGTGTATATTCTTCTGGATAACTGTTGTTTGCATATATATATTTCCTTCAGAAAATAGAGAATATTTTAAAGTATGCTTAACATAACTGCTCTGAAATGAGTGTGGTTTGCATCCTAGGCATATGGGTTGATTCTCAGAGAAGGCACACAGCTTGCTTCTTCACTTGGTAATATGTTTTGAGGAATTTTCCCTGTTAGTACACATAATCATCTTTGTTATTTTAAGCTGCTCTTTAGCACTTCGAGGAATAGCTATTAAAAATTCATTTTCCACTCTGATTTCAATAGGTCTTTAGGTTGTTCCCATTTTGTTTACAACGACAAGGAATGCTGCAATGAATTGCATGTGTCCTCACAACAGCAGGTCTGAACAGCATCTTACTAGTAAACGGTTTTGCTTTCTTTTCTGAAGCTTTGGCACAGACCAGGCTGTCTTTTACAGTATTACTGTTTACCATCAAGCCTCTATCAAGGCATTTTCCTGAACAAAGTCCATTCTCTTTCTGAGAAGCATTCTGAGGACAGCTGCTAAAGTAATTAAAAAATTTCCCAACTTATTTTCCTTATGTTCTTGGAATTGGAAAAGCAGATCGTTGATACCTGGTGTGTTTTCACTGAATGAATGAATGATATATTTCAAGCACAGAGAGCATTGGAATAAAAGGAGATAGGCGTTTGTGACTTGGGTTTATGATCCTAGATATGAGACAAATTTCTTCCTCCTCAGAAAAGAGGTGGTCAAGCAGGAGTTTTTAAAGGTCTTGACCATTACGTTACTTTGCAGTTCTTTTTGTTCCGAGGGAGCTGTGGATGCTTTTTGTGACGCTGCACATTTGGGAGATGCTAAGGAAGAGTTTGATTATATCACAGTTCATCTAATTTTCAGAGTATTAAAATGCAGCAAAATTTTAAATATATGCTCATAAACTCATTTCAAAAGTGTGGGTAAAAAAAAAAAGTTAAAGCTTGAAGTAAATTGTCACACTAAAAGGACATATTTATGAATTTAGGTGTTAATCTTAAATATTAAAGACAGAAAATACAGATATCCCTGGGGATCAAAGGGAAAATATATTGGTGATAATTCATTAGGAAACTATTATACCTTTTTAAAGTAAGGAATCTGTGATTAAATACCCCCTTTTAAAAATAAAAGTATGTTTATGTTGAAATTGAGACAATAAGCTATTTATTAGGTGCTTCCTGGATCCTCTTAGGTGCTCATATATTGATTATGATATGGCATCTTCTTCTGACAGGTATCCATGCTGTCTTTTTTTAAATTATTATTATTTTTTATCAGATGAGCCTAATTGCCACACACCAAAAGAATCCATGATACTCTTTTTCAAACAAGTTAGTTCTTTGAGAATTGCTCTAAAATGCTCCCTAGAGCTGAAATAGGGCCTCAAATTTAGATTTGTAAGTCATGAGAAAAAAAGGGGATATGTACTCATATGGAAATGGCTCATTTTCTATAAAGCACTTTCCTACTTTGTTGTGAGAGTAAATTCAAAATGAAGGAGGTACACTTTACATAAATTCTTTTCTGAAGGAATTTAAGAAAAACTAACAAGTAAAAGATCTATAAACCCCAAATTATCATATCATTGTGAAGTTGGGTAATTCACTTTTATGATTTAAAATATTTGACGTTTGAGCATGTTGAATATTTTTACTTAAATGGAACTGTTATTACTTAAATTATTATTTAGTGGCAATATGGCTCTAATTGAATCACTAGAGATTTATTTGAACCTATCTGATTAGAACTCCCTCAGGGTTTAATTTCTTCATTTTTTTAGGTTAGCATACCTTATTATTTTTCAATAACAATAGTACTTGCTTAAGAATTCTTATATAGGAATAACATGGTAATTGTATTTTGTAATATTCATAAACTTTAAATGTGATAAACTTTAGCCTGAGGATAGCAACACTTTTTGAAAACACTAATTTAACAATACCATTGTTATTTTAGAATTTACAGTCAGTCGACTTTCCTGTAGTTCTGGGTAATGTCCATTTTATATATATATATATATAAAATAAAAAAAAATATATATATTTTATTTTATTTATTTTATTTATTTTTTTTTATATATTTTATTGATTTTTTACAGAGAGGAAGGGAGAGAGATAGAGAGCTAGAAACGTCGATGAGAGAGAAACATCGACCAGTCGCCTCTTGCACACCCCCTACCGGGGATGTGCCCGCAACCAAGGTACATGCCCTTGACCGGAATCGAACCTGGGACCCTTCAGTCCACAGACCGACGCTCTACCACTGAGCCAAACCGGTTTTGGCCATTTTATATTTTAGTTATATCTTATTGAAATTGTTGTGTGCGGCTGCGGCTAGGTGTCTACCTGTTCAGCCATCTTGGATTCTCTCGCCATTGTTATTTTAAAACAATAACTTTATTAATTTTAGAACTAGGACACAGAGGGATTTAGTAACTTATTCATGTCAATACCGTGATTTCATTGCAAAGGAAAAAGTACGTAATGATATTTACTTCTTCCTGATTGCTTAATGAGTGGTTACAATTTATTGAGGGCTTATTGTGTGCCAGGACCAATGTTAAGGTTGGTTAAGCTACTCTAAAGAGACTGGACAATAAATTAATGGCTTAAGGAATGTCGAAATTTATTACTCTCTTAGGTGAGAGCCTGGACTAGTTGTTTAAGTCATTCAGGGACTCAGGCTCACAGTAGTCTGTGTGGTCTTCTAAGATCCCTCTGATGCTATTCCAGCAAGCAGGACTTGGAAATTCAGAGTAGAGGATTCTGTGTGCAAGGTTTATGGTCTAGGAAGTGTCATTTTGTTTACAGTCCATCAGTTGGAGCTAAGTCACTTGGCACTCCTAGCTGCAAAGGGGACTGGGAAATGTAGTCTCTGCCTTGGCAGCTATTTCCCAACTACAATTCTACAACCATATAGTTTGTAAGTGACAGAATTTGAACCTAGGCCTGTTTGGCTCTGAAGTCCATGTTCTTTAATTCTATGCCAGAATATAACAGAAGTTGAAATACAGCCCAGTCAGTTGGGTTTAATTTATTTTGTGTCATGCACTATTATAAGAATAATCTACTCAATTATCTTCACCACAATCTTATGAAGTAGATCCTAATATCCTCATTTTATAGATAAGGATACTGAGGTGCAAAAAAGGTAAAGGTCAAAGAAGTGGCAGAACTGTGATTTGAAGCCAAATCTGGCTTCAGAGTCCAAGCTCATAACCACTATTCCATACTGCCCCTAAGCTAGTTAGAATACGTTCATCATTCTAAGGGATTTTTTGAGTATTTTGGGTATTGTTCCAGGTACTGGAGTAAAATGGCTCAATAATTGTTTTTGGACTGTTTTTTCCTAAAGTTTTAAAAGAGTAGTGTTGTCAAGATAAGATGAGCTGAAGGAAGGAAGCAGTATGACTGATTTATCTGGGTACTTTGGCTGCACAAGAGCCAGGCTGGGATATGGTTCATGAAATTCTAGATAGTTCTCCTGAATTCCAAATTAATAAGCATGGATTTTATCTTCCTCCTTGTTGCCCCATCTCCTCCTCCTCCTCCTCCTCCTCCTCCTCCTCCTCCTCCTCCTCCTCATCATCATCATCATCATCATCTTTTTCCTCCTCCTCCTCCTTATACCACTTCTCTCTTCCTCCCCCTCCCATCATTCTCTGCCCAAATATTTGTATCTTATTGTCTAACTGGGATCTCAGAAGAATGACCCAAGTCTTCCTTACTAGTGAGAAATGTGTTAATTCAATAATCTCACTAAATTTATATATAAAAAACAACAACAATGCTAAATGAAACACACACACTTTCTTCTGAAGGCAGAGACTCAAATTGTGTTTTATTACAAGTAAGTAGCTTGGGTGACCTAAACTCACTCTTTTATGCCACAATAAGTTGAATATGAACCAAACGAACTCACAGAGGAGGCAGTGTAGGAAAAGAACAGAAACATATAAAGAGGCAAAAATCCACCAGTAATCATCATGTTCCTTGTGTGTTATAGTCTGAGGCCAAAGAACTTCTCAGGGAACATATTTTTCCTCTTAGGCTGATCTATATTGACAACCACCCATGGACACTAATTTTTAAAGAGTAGACTGTGGCCTGAAGGACACAGAGGCAACCCTGGACTATATTTCACTGAAGCACATTTGCCATGAAAATAACAGTTATTGCTGTTGCCACTCAATAGCCAGTGCCTCTCAGTATGAATAAGGGGAGTTAAATAAATTATGTTTATACCAAGGTCCTTGAAACTATGACAAGTTGGAGGTAGGGGGATGGGTAAGCCCAGGTTGAATTATCCCTATGTTCTGTAGTTGTAAGGGTGGGGGGAGCTGAAATGGCAGGGCACACCAGGGTGAAAATGTAAGCAATGTTTAACTCAGTCTGTTAATAAAGAGCAAGGTTTGCTTGCTGGTACCCCAGTAAGCCATGCCTCATAAGCATTGTGGTTTCCAAAATTATTTCAAGTTAGGCACTGCTACAAGTAAAATATGCTGCTGGCTGTGAAATAATGAGAGGGATAATAAATATATAAAACTTGGAATCTCCTGATGAAAAATGAAAGAGGTTTTATGAACCCAACCAGTCAGACTCAGATGAAAAACCCCTAGTGTGCTCACCATGATTAATACCCTGGCCTTCTATGTGAGAAGCTCAGACTCCATTTCCTATTCTGATATCTTGTTCTGGAGGCAGCTTTGGTTGGGCTCATTACTGAGATAGAAAATTCATCTGGTGTTGGTAAATGGGTGGCTCTAAGGTCCTGGTGGGAGAGGGTATGTCAGCATGTACCCGAGAAAATGGCCCTGTGTCTCTTTAGAACTGGGTGCAAATATTAGAGGGGACATTTAATGACAGTAGCATTGAACTGTAATATACCAATATGGAATTCTTTTAAAAATTAATTATCCTTCTCTTCATCAGTGCCTGGGAAGCAGTCAAATGGATCTCTTAAAATTATCTAACAGTTGAGGAAATAAAGGCTCGGACACTTGCCCAAGGTCACAGAGTTGGTAACTGGAATATGCTGGATTCTAGAGGAAAAACCTAATCTTACTGCTGGTTAGAGCCCCTTTTCCTAATCTCTTCAGTGTCAGTTTCCCTAACCTGCTGTTACACATACACACATGCACATGTGCGACCCTCCACCCCTCTCTCTGTGGGGTATGAACAAACCAGGCATCCTGTCTAAATTAATTTATTTCATGAGATCATTTCTCCACACTCCATTTCACATTGCCTGTGGAGACATAAACCTAGCCTTGAGTTAAAAGAATGAGGACTTTGGTCCCTAATTTGGCCCTAAATGTCAAGCAGAAAATGTTTTCTTAACTCAATGTGCGGCCTGGAAGGCTTGTTTGCTTGACTTTCAAATGCTGCCAGCCAGAAGACACAACTCTAAAAGGTTTTTATAGGGAAGGCTGAGCCCTGATGGAAAATTTATGCCTGGGAGGATGTTACTGCACAGAAAAGGTTGGGGTGGGGGCACATTTTGGTAAAAATTCTTCCTTAGCTGGAAATTTTGGCCTATGGGTTCCCAAGAAAGTTAATTTTGTGGATGATTGCTTTTATGAATGATCATAATGCCTAGTGCAGCCTCATCTCAAATTTCTTAAGTAGAGGAATGTCTCCTAATTAATCATTAAGAAAAAAATAGAAGAATAAAGCAAGAGGAAAATTACGTTTGTCTTATTCTATGATAGATAACATTTTAAGCTTGTTGACCCTGCTGAGCCCACAGAAACATGCCTGTGACACCAAGAAGTGAAATAAATTGCCAGGTCATCACACCTTTCCCATATCAGACCTCCTTTCATATTCAGTAAATGATGTGTGGTTACATGCAGGCCATTAACACCACGAAGGAGGATGTTTTGGGAGTCTTTTTTCTTTCTTCCGAACACTGGGGCTATGGCTGAGTGTCATGGCGTTCTAATCTACCTGTCAGAAACTTCAGGAGAGATGTTCTGATGGCTTTTGAGTGTACATTCAGAGGTCCTTGTCTGATGCTAGCCTCGCTGTCATCAGTGCTGTTCTCAGGGTGGTGGGAGTCAGCATCCACTAAGTAGGATCGTTTCTGCTACACAGTGGACTTCTCCCCAGTTTTTACATAGCCATGCTCCCCACTCCCCCATAGCCATGTTTTTATAATGAGACTTCAAAGACCCCTTTAAAAAGCAGATACATTATATTTGAAAGTGACAATAATTCATTATCTCTTATTTTTATTTCACAATAATATTTCTCAATTTCAAGAATCAGGTGAAGATCATGTAAAGACATAAATTATCACTTCCTCTTCCACAATTCACTAGGTTGGGAAT